GGCTATGGACTATGTTCATGGAGTTGTCTGGATTTTTGCAACCAAATTCTGGTTTATTTGCTTGTATAGCCTTGTATAAATTCAGATTTGCCTGCATTTGCATTCTTTGAGCTGATTTCCTTCCCCTTTGAGGCTTCTGCTGTGACCCTCTAATCTTCCTTTGCATCCTCAAGTTTTAGAAGCAGGAATTGTTGTAAAAAATGAGAGTCAAGGCTGTCGGGCCTGGTGCCCCCAAATATCTGATGCTGGGCCTGCTCAGGCAACCACGTCTTCTCAGGCCCAGAAAAGGTGGCCCGACAGCTGTGAGCTTGGGGGCTGGTGAAGCTCCTCCCTCCCGGCCCTGCTGCTCGCTGCAAATGGCTGCCATCCCTGTCCTCTGTTTACCTAGTTAGCTTGCAAGCAGGGGGAAGGGGTTGGGAAGGGGGAAAACCTCTAACTCTGTTGCATAGTAATAGTTGCCATGGAGACCATTCCCTCTGCATCCTTGCATCCTGGCTTGCTGATGTTCCTCCTTTGGTCCTTTCTCTCCACAGATTTCAGAGAGAGGCTGGGATGGGAGGGACACCGCCTGCCTGTCATAGAGGGATAGGTAGAAAAGGTGCCAGTCCTTGCTGCCAGCCATCCCTTGAGGGCACCAGCATCTAATGCCCCTGGGGTGGCCTCGGGGGCCACTGGGACTGCAAGGAAAAGGTCCTTCCCAGTTGCCACCCACTCCCCATCTGCCCCCCTCCCCCCCTCCCAGGAGCTCCTTGCAAGCCCAGATCCTCCTTTGCAAACTAGGTCATGCTTTCTGCCTGTCTTCCCAAGCAGCAGCAGCAGCAGCAGCCCGTGTGGAAGTGCCCGAGGACGCCCGCCCGCCCTCTTTTCTGAAGAAGATCCCTGCAGCCCACCGCCTGCCTTCCCTTCTGCCTGCCAACCTTTGTCTTCCTCTCCCAGGGAAATGTTCCTCTGGGCGCCCCTCTTCCTGAACACCCCTCGCTCCCCCATCCTTCTCTGCTGCTGGGGCTGAGCAAAGCCTCGGCTCCAGCCTTCTCTTGTCCTGAGCTTCCCCTCCCGGAGGCATCTCGGGCCACTTCAGCGGGCCCTGGAGCTGACCTTGCGAGGCCGGAGCACTCTGGGACCTGGCCTAGGCTTAGCACGTGTGCCTCCGGAAGCAGTGAATGCTCCAACACTTTCTAAGAAGAGACTGGACAGCCATTTGTCTGAAATAGTGTAGGGTTCCTGCCTGAGCCGGGGGTTGGACTTGATGACCTCCCTGCCAACATTATTATTATTATTATTATTATTATTATACGGCTGGCTCCCCAACCACATTCCAGCGTAGCCAAGCATTTTGTACAAGTGTCTTTCTACCATCCCTTTAATATGAAAAGTGGATCACCGGCCTGGTTTTTTGCAAGTAGTTTTTGAAAACTGAACATTTGAGGCTCAAATCCTTACTTGGTGCCAAATGCTTAGAAGGGGGTGGGGGGCATCTCGTTTGGTTGCCTTTACTTCTCGGGGTTCTTGTATGGAAGGCAGGAAGGCAGGACCCCTTCCTCAGCTGCAGCTGTGCCGGCAGGTGGAGGAAGCGCCACCCTCACTTCTTAAGCCAGTGGATTCAGCTTGTGGTAGAAAGTATCTAGGCCACAGCCAGAGCAGACCCAGGAGTGCTGGTTAAAGAGGTAAAAGAGGTCGGAAGAGAGTAGGCAATCCTCAGCTGCCTCAGCTCAAGAAAAGCAACTGTTCCTCATGATTCTGCTTTGGTCAACGCAGCACCTGAATAGCTTACCCAATTTAGGGTAGCATATTTGAGGAAAGATGTTGACATCCTGGTGCAGGTCTGCAGGAGGGCAACCAAGACATCAGGACTCTGGTGCATAACATTTGCAAGAAGTGGATGGTGACCCTGTGGGGCTTTGGCTTCGGACATCTCCAGGGCTGCCATGTAGGCGACAGGGCAGATTTGTCCAGAATGTTCCAGAAGAGAAGACGAGGATGGTGGGTTGGTGCAACAAAGCAGATTCTGGCTGGACTTTGAGAAAAGATCCCTTAGGCCAGTCAAGGGGAGCAGCTGCCTTGGGAGAGGTGGGCTCTCCTTTCCTGAAGGTATTTCAGCAGAGGTGGGGGAGGGGGTCACCTGTTGAGGAAGCTGCAGGGGTAGCCCCGGGGGGGGGGTTCTGGTTTTGTGATATGGGACAGATTTTGGTCAGAGGGACATTATCCTGCTACTGCATGTGGGCTGCTAAGGTCCTCGAGGGGTATGTCAGTTTGAAACGGCTGCCACATTGTGCTGAACCCCACTGCTATTGCCGAAGGCAGTGTTGGCACACAGCAGAGCAACATGTGGGCAGAGACACTGCTGCTGATGCCATCCTCCCTTAGGTCCAGATTGATGGGCTCTGGGTCCAGAACCAGGACTGGCCTTTGCTGGGGAGGGACCTTACATGGTGAGTGTAAGATAGGAGATGCAGCCACTGATGAGCATGCGAATCTTGCCTAGCCTCAGTTGCTTCTTGGGCTTGGCAGAAGGGTGTTGTTGAAGGGTGCAGTGGCCTCTTGCTGGCTCCCCAGGTGCACCTTTGGTTGGGTGCTGTGGAAGCGGGTGCAGCTCCTGTGGGGGACCTGCCTTGGATGCAGCTGGCAGCTGTTCTCGGAATCCTGGGCTGTGCAGGAACAGGAATCTCTGTTTCTTGAGAGCAATTGACAGCCCCCCCCCCCTTAAAGACTTTGGTGGCTGGACGAGGCTCTGCTCTCTCCAGGAGCCAACGCTGAAAAGGCCCACAGTGCTCCTTCTTCCACTTGGATTGGAGAGTCCACTTTCCTGCTTCTGGATCACCGTGCCCCTCTTCTGGCAGGCTGGCTTTAAGATGGGGGCTCTGTTGGAAGCTCACACCTCCCACAGCTGGCAGGTGGTCATCTCTGAGACAGGAGAAGGGCCTGGCCTGGCAGAACTCTTTCCAGCTGCCTCATCTTGCTTGCCCCACAGACTGCCAGCCATTCCCCAGCCAGCTGGGCACAAAAGCCCCTTGTGGCATCTGCTGAATGAAGTGGCGCATGTGATCTGGGGCTCGATTGCATCTTCACACACACACACAGCTCCCAGTCAGGGGCACCAAGGGGCCCTTCCTGGCTGGGAGGTTCATTCCAGACCCTGTTTGGGGGAGACGGAGTTCTTCTGTGGGTGACACTCACCTCCCTCAGTTTGCCCTTAGTGGGCTTCAGATGGGCTGGGCAAGACCCAGCGGGACAGTCCACACTGCCCTGGGGTGTACAGAGGATTGTTCTGAATTCAGGACACGGAGGAGATGATGGCAGGATTCTGGGGGTCTCTTTGGCTTGTAACCAGCAGCTTGGATGCCACCAGAGATCCCGTCTCACTGCTGGGACCAGAAAGCACCTAAGGAGAAAAAATGGGCTGGTTGCGTTGGCTTTTTAGGAAGGGGGGGAAAGGACTAAATTGCCAGGTACATTTGGGGCGGTGGTTCTTCTGGAATCCTCTGGAGTTCAGGGGTTCGAGGGGAGCCCAGCCCAACAGGCAAAGATCTACTAGGCAGCCCCATCCCTGTGGGCTTGGGGACAGCAAGGGATTTGACCCCGAACCTCCCAGGCTCAAAGGCGGCTGCCTCTCGTTCTTTCAGAATGCCAAGCGCCCACGGGGCAAACGACTGTTTTGAAAGAACGACAAACCACGAATTGATTGTTGGTTGTGGCTCTTTTGTGCCTGCACAGGCCAGGTGTGTACAGTTTGCACTTCCTGTTGTGCTGTTCTGGGGTTGAAGTGTTGTTAAGTGGAAACTTTTCTTCCATTTCCCTCTCCTCCTTCCTGGGGAGGAGAAAAGGGATGGTGACATCTGACCTTCCCCGGCGTCAGAAGGGCCTGAAGACACCATCAAATTCTGTTATTTCTTTTACTAAGTGGTAGTATCTGGTTGTATTTATTTACTTATTACTTATTCTTTTTGGCTTTTTAAAATTTTGCTGCTGATTGACTGAGCAAATATTAGTGAGTGAGTGAGTGAGTGAAGGCACTTAAGAAGTCATCAAGTCTAAACACCTCCACTAGGCACCTCCAAGAGATTATTATCTAGCCTCCGTCTGAAAACTGATCAACTTTCCGTTATCCTTCCTTATTTTTATATGTAGGCATCTTTTTGTATTCCTGAATGCATCTGTCACAATGGGCTGACTTTGACTGAACTCAAAAAAATTGAGTGGGCTTTGAGTTTCTCTCAGTTTGAGAGAAACTCTCGGACTGAGGAGTCAAAAGAAAGCTCTGGAATAGCTCATGCCTGACTTGACGGAGACTTGGCCAAGTGAGAAGCTGTGGGGCTTCTTCTAGTCAGGGGCCCCGGAGATTCTTCTCTCCTGCTCCCCCACATTGCTTGGGGGAGGGGAGAGGCCCAGTTGCTTTCTAGGAAGGACAGGTGGGGAAGGGGCTGATCAGCCGTACAAAAATAATAGGCTGTGCAAGCAAGCCAGGTCACCGCGGAGGGGCTGCCTTTCCTGGACTTCAGGCACAGGTGGGCTTCTGCTGTGCTGTCAGTTACACAGAGCAGCTGTCCTTGAGGGGGGGAGATCAGGGTGGAATTCTGGTATTTCTAGGGTGAATCAGAAGGAAAAGCAACTTCTGTGTGCTTCTGTCGAGAAGTAGCAATCGGAAATGGTTAGGGCCTGAATTGAGGGGTCCCCCAACATTTGCCTTTCTGCTTCCTGGGGTGTTTGGGGGGAGGATTTTATCATGGGAGGATTTTATCAAGATTGTCGTGGGAAGGGGGACCAGGAGGTGAACTGTGCCCACAGTGTTTTTCCTCTCTCTCTCTCTCTCTCTCTCTCTCTCTCTCTCTCTCTCTCTGTGTGTGTGTGTGTGTGTATACCAGGATCCCCAGCTGATTTAAGAGGCACTCAAAGGGGAGAGAGATGCATCTCATGCAGCCCCAGAATGTTTGGCCCCACAGATCATCTCAGACCCGGCCAAGCCATGATTCTGACCCTTTCTCCTCCCTTCTGCTTCCTTGCAGGGCTCCTTCTGTCTTTTTTATGACTCCCCGTCTGGATTTATACCAAGTGGAATATCATGAACTGAAGAAATTGGCTCTTCTGGTTTTGCCTTCTTAATTTTTTTCTACTTTTTCCTTTTTTTTAAGGAAGCTTTTTTTTGATGATAATACTTTGATTTTTTTTCCTTTTTAAACTTTTTTGAAATAAAAAAAATTGAGGCACCTCATATCGTGAGAAGATGGGGAGGAAAAAGATCCAGATCCAGAGGATTACGGATGAAAGGAACCGGCAGGTCAGTCGCAGGAAGTGGCTTTATTTGTCTGTGTCCTTAATTGATCCTGATTAATTCACGGAGGCCTCTGCCTTCTTGCTGGTACAGCAAGGAGATCAGAGCCAGGGAGATGCTTGGTGTTCCTGGCTGTGCTTGATGGGCTTCTGGTGGTCTGAGGCTCCCAGAGGACCATCTCTGGGGATGGGGGTGTAGGTGTGTCTCTGCATTTTAGGGTCGCAAGGCTCTGGGATATGTAAGGCCAGACCCCCTGAAGACCCACCCAGACTCATTTCCTGGGGCCTGGGATCCTTTCTTGCTAATTCTGGGTCTGGCAGCTGCTTCCCAACCCTTATCCTGCCGGCTGGGACTTCAACATCCCTGGCTATCTTCTGGTCCTCATTTGGAAGGCAGCCCGGCAGCCTTTGAAGCCTTCAGTTCAGAGCTTATCTGGGGTGTCACTTTTCTTCTCACATGTTAATCAATATAGGCAAATACATTGGATAGTTTCAATGTGGTACAATGGACTTCAGAATCTTGTGGACAAGGTAAAGGTTTCTTTTCTGCTTTGCCAAGTGCTGGACCACTAAGTATGGTGATGCTCAAGGATATAGACTGGAAAGCCATTCCTGCTCTTTATTCATCTGGCTTGTAAACAGGGATCTTCAGGGTTTTCAGCTTCTTCCTCAAAGTTCCTGGGGATCCATCCATCCATCCATCCATCCATCCAAATTTAGGATAAGGCCAGAGACCAAGGAACTAGTTTCCATGTTATGTCACCTGAGACTGCTTTATGTCATGACTAAAACAAGCTGTTCTTTCCAACTTCATGTCTGACTTTATGAGGTACCCCCCAATTAAAAAAAAAGATTACTGGATGAGACCTACTGAAACCAACAGTTAAATCAGCATTTCTGACGTCTTTTGGAATCTTTGGGTGGGGAAGATGATAGGGTAGTTCTAAACTTAGCTTCCCATATTTCTGCTTTGAAATAAATGAGGAAATTCTGGGCTTGCAGTTGTTGGGTTTCTAAGGATTCATGGATTTCCCTGGAGTGGGGAGGGGGATGAATCCTATACTGGTATTAAAGGGGAAACAGATTCCCAAGTTGACCTGGGAAACTAAAACTATCACTTCCAAGCGAATACTGACTTTCCTTCATCTCCCTTGAAGCAACGCAGAGTATGACTGGAGAAGTATGGAAGAGAGCTTCTTAGAAGGCTACTTCATGTGGTGAAGTTGGAAAAGGAGTTTTCTCTGCCTCTGTTACATCTTAGCAGTGGCTGTGTTTGTACAGTCCTAAACTCGAGTTAATCAACCTCCTTCTTGTTTTTGCATAACATGATATGGCCACCTAAGCCACATCCTTGCTTAATCTGGTGGTCCAGTTCATGTGAAGGAAAGGTTGGCTTCCCACAACCCCTCAAATCACAAATTATCCAACTCTCTGTTGACTTTAGTCCAAGGCGTTGTATGAACCCAGACACTCTTATCTAGTAGGCCTGTTTCAGATAATCAAGAGTTTTGGAGAAGGAAATGGTGGGCATTCCATGGACTTAGGGTAAAATTGTAGGGTGCTTTATGAGCTTCATCCTGAATGATTTTAGGCATTATTTTCTTTTTTTTTTAATTAAAAGTTTTACAAATTTAATACAATATAACCCAAACCCCTCCCACCCCTTCCCCCCTCCCCCACTTCCCAGAGCTGATTACAGGGTAACAAATAAACAATCATAATCTAACTAACATTACCCGAGCTATACTATCAATCAATCTATAACATACTTTAACTCCTTTTCAAAACAAATATTAACTAATTAAAAACAAAAATAATAATATAATTAAACCATAACACTAAAAATAATATAAATTCAACCATAATAAACTATTAATAATAATCTAAAATCTACTCATAAGCAAGATAATACTTTTCAGTCTCATATTTCTTTTGAATATAATCAATCCATCTTCTCCAGACCGAGATGTATTTTTCTTGCGAATGGTCCTTCAAATAGGCAGAGATTTTTGCCATTTCTGCTAAATTAGACACCTTAAGTATCCATTCTTCCATAGTAGGCAAAGAATTTTTCTTCCAATATTGCCCCACCAATAATCTTGCAGCTGTTATAAGATTCAGCATCAAATTAATTTCTTTAACATCCAAATCAACCATAATACCCAACAAAAATAATTGCGGAGTAAACTTTATCTTTCTCTTAAAAATCTTTTGAATATTCCACCAAATCTTAATCCAAAAAGCTTTTATATCTCTACAAGTCCACCAAATATGAAAATAGGTTGCATCTAAACTCCCACATCTCCAACATTTGGGTTGTAAATTAGGATACATGCGGGACAACTTTTGGGGATCCAAATGCCATCTATAAAACATTTTATAAAATTTTTCTCTTAAATTTTGCGCTTGGGTAAATTTTACATTTCTAATCCAAATTGTCTCCCATGTATCCAATAAAATCGGCTCTTGAATATTTTGAGCCCATTTAATCATACAATCTTTAACTAACTCCGTTTCAGAATCCAATTCTATTAAAACATTATAAATTCTCTTTATATGGGCTCGAGTTTGATCTTTGATCTGTTTTACCAAATTCACATCCTCTAAAGTAATACCAACCTTTTGATCTAAACTCCACCTAACAAACAATTGATTATACTGAAACCAAGAGTGTACAATATTTTCTTGTTTCAGCTCAGTTAAAGACTTTAATTGCCAATCCTTCCCTACCAAACTAAGTAATTCTTTATAAGAAATCCTATCCAAATTCACTCCCCTAGATATTCCCTCTATCGCGTGTCCAGGAATCCCCCAAATTGGAATCTTGTAATTTAACCTGTAATAATACTTCTTCCAGACACACAACAAAGCACTTCTCAAAATATGGGATTTAAAAACCTGATCTACTTTTTTGTCATAATTTAAATATGCATGCCATCCATATAATAAATCCCATCCCTCAAGAGAAAGGATATTTTTATTTGTTAAGTTGAGCCAATCAGTAATCAGTGTTAAAGCCACCGTATCATAATACAATTTTAAATTAGGCGCCTTACATCCTCCTCTTTCCCATGCATCTTGTATAATCTTAAACTTAACTCTTGCCCAAATAAATTTATTAATCCCCTTCTGCCATTCCTCCAAATTAACATCTTTTTTCCAAATAGGTATCATTTGAAACAAGAAAAGAAACTTTGGAAGAATATTCATTTTAACTGCTGAGATTCTCCCCAACAAAGATAACTGTAATTTTTTCCAATCATTTAAATCCTTTTGCACTTTAACCCATAATGTCTCATAATTATTTTTATACAATTTAACATTAGAAGCTGTAATATATACTCCTAAATATTTAACGTTCCTCATTATTTCAAAACCTGTTAATTTAGCCAAGATATCCTTTTCCTTCATAGACATATTTTTCGATAATATTGTCTTATTATTATTTACCCTGAAACCAGAGGCCTTCCCATACTGAGTTAAAAATTCAACCAGATCCCTAACCGAATCTGTCGGTTGAGATAATGTCACAACCAAATCATCAGCAAAAGCTCTCAACTTATAATCATTCTTATTTATTTTTATTTCCTTTATTCTAGGTGATTCTCGAATTTTAATAAGTAAAATCTCCATTGTTAAAACAAATAACAATGGGGATAAAGGACATCCCTGTCTAGTACCCTTTTCAATGTTAAATGCTTCTGTTAATCCCCCATTAATTATAATTTGTGCATTGTTGTTGATATATATAGCCTTAAGAGCATACAAAAATTTATCCCCAAAATTCATTTTCTCTACTACTCTCAATAAAAATTGCCAATCTAATTGATCAAAAGCTTTTTCAGCATCCAAAAATATCAAAACCGCAGGGATTTGATTGTTCTTGTCCAAGTACTCAATTAAATTAACAATTTGTCTTACATTATATTTCATATATCTTCCAGGTATAAATCCAGATTGATCACTATGGATCAATTGCTTCAAAACTTGCATTAATCTGTTTGCCAATATTTTTGAAAAAATCTTATAATCTGTATTCAAAAGAGATATAGGTCTATAATTTTTAGGCTGAGCCAAATCTTGATCCTTCTTTAGGATCAATGATATAAATGCCCTTTTCCAAGATGGAGGTACCTCTGCTCCCAACAGAATATTATTGAAAAGTTCCTTCAATGGTTCTATCATTTCTTCAGATAACATTTTATAGTAAATTGCTGTTAATCCATCTGTACCTGGAGCCTTACCAACCTTTAATTGCTTAATTGCCCAAATAATCTCTTCAGAAGTAATTAAACCATTCATCTCATCTCGTTGATCATTTGAAAGTCTAGGAAAATGTGCATCCTGTAAATACTTTTCTATATCTGAAACTTGTATACTTTCACTAGCATATAACTTTGAATAAAAGTCTAAAAAACTCCTTTTAATCAAATTTGGTTGATATACTTCTTTACCTTTATAATTTATTTTCTCTATAATCCTTGATTTCTGTTTCTTTCGTAGTTGGTAAGCCAACCACCTACCAGGTTTATTTGCATTACAAAATGTATTATGTTTCATATACCGCAAATTAATTGCAATCTGATCAGCTATTAACATATTAAATTGCTCCTTAAGCATAGTTATAGAAACCTTTAAACTATTGTCCATTGGATTTAAAACAAGCGCCTTCTCCTTACATTTAATCTCTTCTTCCAACTCTTTACGTTTCTGCATCTGTTTGCGCCTATGTGCATTATTCATATGAATCAGAACCCCTCTCATAGATGCTTTACTGGCATCCTGTACCATTGGCATCGAAGTACCCTTATGCATATTCAAAAGAAAAAATTCCTTTAAGTAATCTCTACATTTCTGTAAGTTCCCCTCATGTCTAAATAAATTTTCATTCAATCTCCAAGTCCTTCTATTCCCGTCTTCAATAGATAACTCCAACCATACAGGACTGTGGTCTGACAATATTCTAGGGAATATCTTGGCATTCTTCACCCTAGAAAAAAGATAATT